CCTCAATGTTCCACACTGGACCTTTAAACCTGTATTAACTGATCTTTTGGTAACTTAGTGGCTAGGAACACACTGGACCTTTAAAGTCAGCATGACAGTATGCTACCGTTAGCATTTAGCTTAGTACAGAGCCGCTAGCATGGCTAGACTCTTTCTTTGTTTTTATCAATAAAGGAGTCAAATATTATAAAATATTATTGAATGTATGTGAAACATACATTAATCTATTTATAATACAACAAGATAATATACATTATTCTTACTTTTGGTACTTGATGCTAATACTTTTAAATAAGTCACATTTTCGTCCACCACTGCCTAAATGGACATTACCAACATGGCTGGGCATGTTGAGGATTCATTTGATGTCTTACCAGGCAGTGCGTTCCTAAATTCTTTGATTTGATTTCAGAACACACATGCATACGCACACACACCAGACACACAACTTCCTTGCTTCCTCTCTAACATTGTGTTCGGCCGTGGATACTGTGTGTGAACTGGTGCACTGTAAGCGGCTACCATTCTTCTGCGGTCAGTGTGGTAATTACTGAGTGTGTGCCACTTCTGGGGAAGATGCCAATGTACATGCTTAATCAAAAACAAATCACACACACACACACACACACACACACACACACACACAAACAAACACACACACACACAGCAGTCCTGGAGCAGCGTGCAGGTGCAGTCAGAGCAGGGCAAGAGGAGGAAGAGGTGGAGGAGGAGGAGGAGGGTGATGACGGACAAACTAATGAAAAGTTGCATTCAAATCCCTATTCGGCAGCGGGACACTAAACATGACTCAGCAGCCACAGAGATTTGGCAAAGTGATCACATCCTGGCTCACGGGCAAAAGGTGACAGGCACAGGCAGAGCTACAGGTGAGGTAAACAAACAGTCCGGTTCGGGCTGCGGTTTGATGTGACGTAGGAACAGCTGAGAGGTCTAAGAAACATTGGAGCCTTTCTGAATCAGTCAGTCACTGCAAATGTTAAAAATGTTTTCATGTGTGAAACAATAACAATCTGTCAAATGTCTCCAATGCAGTCTCTGAACAGAATGAAAGCTGCAACTAACAATTATGTCCAAATCTTCTTTTCACGATCAATAACGTAAAGATTTGATCAAATAAATGTCAGAAAATTGAGAAAAATGCCTGTCACAATTATTTAGAGCCTGAGGTCATATATTTATACATATAAATGTTATTTCATCTGAGTAACAGTCCAAAACCCTGAAGGTATTCAAATCAAAGAAGAAGGAAAACCAGAAAATATTCTCATTTGAGAAGAAGAGCATTTTGTTATATGTTATATATGCTAACAATGGTATAAACAAACACAACTGCAGAGTGCAGCTGTTTTAATACATTTCTAAACAACGATGTTCAATGTATTTTTTCAGCTTGAACCATACCCGTTTTAACATAAAATCACATAAATAATTAATTGTATGTGTACAATGTGGTCTACTTAGCACTATCCGAAATAAAGTTGCAAGATTCATAAACAAACAGATTCATTTAACACATGACAGTAAGTTTACTAAAGAGTGCTGCTCAGTAAGAAGTCTCAGTGCTGATCGTTTCACACGGCCTGATTTACCTGTCTATCAGTAGTTGGGAAAACATTTATGAGGTCATTAGGGCTGCACCATTACCTAAATATTATCAAAATCCCATTATGGCTAAGTGCAATATTAAAATCAAGGTGTGTGACGAACAGCATCATAATGAAGTACTGTAGTGCTGCAGAAATGCCCATGTTGGTTTGGTACAGACCCCAACAAATACCACATCATCAAGGGTCACAAATAAAATTTTCAGTCAATTTGTGATAAAAATGATCATTCCCACTAATCCTGAATCATATCGCAATCGCAATATCGGTCAAAATAACTGCAATAGGATTTTTTTTTACCATATCATGCAGCCCTAGAGGTCATATGGCCTGACAATAATAAAAAAATAACACACCCACCAGATGTCAGGTTAAAAAGACCATCTCATGTTCGGCGTTGCCTTACAGCTAGAATTAGTTTAATTAGCTCACTTTGTGGTCGTAGCAGCAACGTGCTGTTTCTGTGGTAAAAAAAATGTCAAGAGCTCTGATTCAGACAGGTTATTAAGTTCTAAATGATGACTATTTTCTACTTTGTTGGTCTGGAAGCTCTATCAACATGAAGTAAAGCTTTTAATGTAATAACATATTTATTATTATAACATACCCATTACACAATATGAAGCCTGTATCATAGGAAACTGGACTGTGTGTAACTAATGAGTCTCCACTGTGACGCTGTGTTTTAGATGAGGAGATAGTGTACTGACACACCTTTCAAACAGCCACTCAGAACTTCTGTTATGATATCATACTCTTATGAACACACAATAAAAAACAAACACCAACACATTCTGACCAGTCACCATGACAAACAGCTGATCGCAGAGCTGTGAAGGAGTGGCTCTGTCAGTCTGTCTGTCCTGCATGCTCAGAAATTTGATAAAATGTAGGCGTAATGTGATCACAAGCAGCAGATGCCAACTGAAGCCGCGTTCAGACCACAAGACAAAATGACTCAGATCTGTTGGAATCTGATCTTTTCAATTCTGATTTGGGCCTCTTTCATACGTGGTCCAAACCAGGATGAGGTCTGATTCTTTGCAATGCAGCCTCGGTGTGAACAGTCATATCAGAGTGCAAGAGAAGTTTACGTCACTCTAGATCGACATTCGTCATGCGGGTCACTTCAGGACTGTGACCTGTTCACACTGGAATCTCATATGGGCCACATTCAACAAATAATGTGAACAGCCAAACAATCAGATCTGAGCAAAATATAATTGAGCGCTATGGATGCAGTGTGAGCCAGTCTTAGACAGACTTCAGTGTGGAAGGAAGTTAAAAGATAAAGTGGCATAGTTGGAGTGCTTTTTGATAAAACACATAATGCCAATACACTGTTATCAATATTATTATAATGTAAAGAAATCAGCCTTTAAAACCTGATTAAAAACAACCTTTCATTGAAATATTTGATTTAAAGTAAGCCCAAATACAAAATAAATAAATACCTGATATGGCAGTGGCAGTGAATAGTTGGCTGACATATGAGAGATAAAGAACAACAAACAGCAGTGATAGAGAGAGAGATGCTGCCGGTTTTATGCTCCTATAACTGCAGTAATCTCTCGCCTAATTGCTTCCTATGCCTTGACCCTGAGTGTACCTGCTGCTGTGTGGAGGTGAAACTGAAGCTTGAGGGACCGTTGAGGTGTCGAGGGGCCGACGTACAGTCCGTACAGCCCCACACAGACTTTTCCTCAACAGTGTTATCCCGTCGAGCAGACTGGCAGCTCGGCAGCCTGCCTGTACATGCCTGCTGTGCGCTGCTGTCACCACGCCTTCAGCCCCAAACAGCACAATTACCCTGCACTCAGTGACAGAGTTCAAGGTAGGCAGTGCTGTTTGGCAAGGCTCTAATTTGATTTATTCTGATGAATCTGTCAGCGATATTACAGTTAGGCCGTCTGCAGCACCATCCTGATGTAAACACACAAGGCTGTAGTGATCTTATTATGCATCTCACAGAGGTATTAATACAGGGAATAAATAGGTGAAGTGAAAATGCAAATATGAAAGTCAGCACACAGACTATTTGGCACAGCAGCTACAATTTTAGCCCCTATAGGGAGAGTATAAGAGTGGGGAGTTGTGTCATATAATAAAGACTATCAATATCAGGTCTAACTCATACCAGCCTCGACTCTCCCTAAATGATGAGCACTGCTTGTAAATTTGCTGAAGCTAAGAGGAATGAATGGCAGCAGAAAATGGAGCGGAGCCTGCGGAGGAATGCAGAAACCCACCAAACCACCTCCCACAGGCTGCCGGGAGAGCAGGCACACACATGCGACCCAACCGACCAGCCCCAGGAAGAGGTGGCACTGTGCACTTCAGCCACAGAGTCACACTGTGTGCTGTCCTCAGCGGGGATTTAGGAGCCCCCGTAGTCTGACCCCCCCAAATTCGAGAAGCAAACAAATAATTAAATATTCTGTTATGGGCTGATATTCGTCTGTGAGATTCATTTTTCCTTATCTCCTAGGATACTTTTATTATTTAAAGGTAACAGTTGTCTTATTCTACGTTGACTTTTTTTTAATGTATCACTGTAATATCTGTGTGGCATTCAGGCACTGGTAATTTGTTGGGATATCTATGTCTCTTGCGAAAACAACGTTTTTAAGGATGCATGTCTGTGAACCCCTCACGGTTCCTCAAAGGGTTTTCAAAGCAAAGAATGGTTCAGTTTCATAGTTTTGTGCAATTTACAAGAAAACAAGTACATTAAGTGTTACAGGCTGCACTAGGATACCGTAAATCTTATTTTTTTCTGCAAAGTCTTGACTGCATTGTTTCCAAAATCTTCTGATGTAGGGTTGAGGGTTATCAGAGCAAAAAACTAAAGGCAGAGGAGACCTGTTCACTTAGGGGAAAGTTTACATCTGACACCAACTTCTTAAGCTTTTTTCCTCAGGCTTTACATGTATATTATTTTCACATTTCCACCTGCCATTAAACATATTCATTTCACACATAAAACTTCTTTTTCACATGCAGAATGTCATTTTCAATTCAAGAATATGAAATTTCACCTGTATGGAAACCTGCACCTTTCCAAAAAAGAACATGTGCTTTTTCACTTGTGGGTAACTTTTGTTGTAAGGGTCTTTGCGGGGGGATGTAGCGGTGTTGGTAAGTTATTAAGTCTGGGAGAGTGTGTGTGCGTGCGTGTGTGATGGTTAACAATTAACCTGAGCGGCCACTTTGCTGGAGGGAAAGAGGACAGAAGAAGATGAGCGGACATGTGAGGAGGAGGAGGAGGAGGAGGAGGAGGAGGTCAGGTGAATGATAACAGTGGAGGTGAAAGAGGAGTGAGAGATGTGGTCCACTTGTGTAAAATGAGGATTAGAAACGTGGAGTCCAACTTACAGCCAGTTACTCGCGTTGGCCGAGAGGAGCGCGCAGCAGAGCATCAGGACGCACCGCAAGACATATTCCTCGGTCATCTCGAGAGGGAGGGAGGGGAGGCCGGTGAGAGCTGAAATAATCCCGAGGTGGACAGGGGCTCGGCGGTGAAAAAGAAGCAGCGGCAGGCTCCGGGGAAGGCTGTTAATCCATCGCCCCGCATCCAGTGGATCATCCACCGGGGAGGCGCGCGGCTTCGCGGTCCGTCCGCCCGCTTCTGCCGTCCCTCCCTCTGCCACTCCGCGCTCAGAAGGGACGGGGAGAGGGGCAAAGGAGGGATGCTAAAAATACGATCAAAACTCTGAAGCTGCTCGGGCTGAATCGGACCCTTCTTCTTAATCAGCTTGTTTGCTTTCCTTTCTCAGCCAGCCGGCAGAGCGCGTGGAGAGGCAGGCAAATAAAAGCCAAATGAACGAGCTCTCTTCCTCCTCTCTGAAGGCTTATCACCCGCTGCCGGGTCCCGCTCGGGGCTCTCCTGTCAGCGCGCCGCGGGCTCTCCAACTCTCCCCGGACACATGCACACACACTCTCTGAGCGTAAATACGCACGGGTCCTCCTCACACACCACCGTCTCTCGGTGAGTCTGGCAGAGGAGAGTGTGTGCGCTGACTTTAGTTGAGGGGCGGTGCGAGGATATAGAGGTATGGCAGCGAGATGGGAGTTTTTTGGGGGATGAAGGAGGCGGGTTTAGTGTGCTGCTAAGGTACTGTGTGTGTGTGTGTGTGTGTGTGTGTGTGTGTGTGTGTGTGTGTGTGTGTAGACGGGACAATGTGTGTGTTTTAGAGGTCTCCTGGGAGGATGCAATAGCGCAGCCATTCACTAATGCCCTCCCCAGCCGCCCTCCACTCCTCTCCAACACACACATAAACACGCTCTCTTTCACTCTCACTCACAGACACACACACACACACACACACACATACACACACACACACACCCACACACACACACTGCTCAAACCGCACACACTTCTTGGCAGCGCCTCACTCTCCCTGTCACACACTCAACCAAATATTCTGCGGTCAACAGGCTATTTAAAGCTTGGCTGCAAAATGTCTGCATTTGAAACCAGCAAATCCCAATAATATGACAAATGTCAGCTACACACTATTGATTGATGAAAACGTTGTAGGAGGATAATAAGGTGAGGCAGCCATTCTGGCCTCGTGTAATACCACTGAGAACTCTATATGACTCACCTGGTCCTGGCAAAGAAGAAGAGGAGCGAGGTAGAGGACCAAAGACTGAAAGATGATATTTTATTTACCAAATAATAATAATAAAAAAAGTGTACATGAGAAAAAAACTAACAAAAATGTTCAACAAGAAATGGAGCTAATTTATTGTAAAAGAATCAATGCTGCTGGGGTCAGTCACACACTAAAAACAAATGTTTTGGCAACAAAAAAGAAAAATCATGTTCAACAAATGTACTACATTGAGTTCGGGGAATTAGCTTTTTCCACTACAATCAAATGTATTTTTAATTACCTAATTGGTAGCATAAACACAAGTTTTTAAGTTGATTAAGCTACTCATAAAATGAACTTGTTCCAACTAGTTTTTCCATGTTATTTACTCATCAAAATAATGTTTGCAACTTGAAAGGTTTATCTAAATCAATCCCTTGGATGTTTTATCTTGCAGCCATGGATTTATTTTAGTGCTGACAATGGATCCACTAAATTACTTTTTAGAGTGCACTACAAATGATTTTTTCAAAGCCACACAGGAGTTTATTTTTTAACTCCAATGAGAATCCTAAAGTTTCCAAATATACTAAACATGTCAGACTGAGTTATGGGGAAAGGTGTATAAAAAGATGCACAAACACGTGGAGTGTTTCCATTTAACATGTTGCTGCCATAAGTAACTTGGCACTGGAGGAGGTTTGAATGTTCTTTCAGTGTAAGCAACAGCAGTGTGAATGAAAATAAAAGAAGCAGATACTGAACAGAGATGAGATATTGTTTTTCTATCTTTAAAGCTATTTAAGGGACATCTGAAGGGTCTGAGGGGATCATTTAAGACAATACATTTCTTCAACCTATGTTTAACATTCAGAGTGAAAGAAAATGTAGTATTACCGCACTAGAAGAAGAAGACCAGACAAGGGTCAGGAAGAGGACTAAACAATGTTAAACAGATACTTTGTGTTAAACTAGTGTGTATTACTGTGTAGGCCTATGTGTGTGTAATATATATATCTTTGTGTCTCTCTACTTACATTAGTATGTATCATATGAATATAATACGTAAGATAAGATAAAAGAAAAGTCTTTCTTGATCACCACAGGGAGAAATTTGGTTGTTGCAGAAGCACAGAGACGAAAATACAGATAAATAGAGAAAAACTAATAAATAAATAATAAATGAAATAAAATAGAAGAATAAAAAAGTAAGAATAGACATAAAAATAAAAACTATATAAGAGCAAATACGTCAAAATAACAAAGCAAGCTTGTGCTGGCCGTAAACTAATAGTGTGTTACCAAAGTAATATAATGGTATATAGTGAGAATATAATACATTCTATAATGTAATAATATAGTATAACATAGTATAATGTAATATAGATAATAAAATATAATATAATACAATAAATATAATAGCAAATACAATAGCAAGAGAGCTGCCACAGCTTACAAAGCAGTATGAGCATAAAAAAAGAGCTGAAGCTGAATTAAAGTAACAATTAAGTAAATAAATAACAAAACCTAATGCATGATTAGAAACAAATAAATAAATAAATGACGTGCAAACCAAATGTCATGAGCTCAGTGAGACAAAACACACATATTACCCACTGATCTTGTGGCGGAAGAGTCAGTGCACACTCAAACTTCATTTTTAATTCTAGTGGAGTAAAGTTACCAAAGATGCCACTATGCCGGGCTGAATCCTGGAGAAAACGTGCATGTTATAAAACAGGTTTGAATATTTAACTCAATGTTAACGTCACAGCTTCAACGAAGAGCTGGAACAAACGTATACAGAATGTGCGGTATGTTACGCTGTCAGAAAGTGTGGAACAAGATGAGTTTTCCTAACTTAGAACTGGTTGAGGGTAGGACACATTCATACAGGACAATGAACATGTATGTTAACGTGTACCATCAGAGCTGGTTTCAGTGTGCAGATGTGGAAAAGCAGACTTCAGCAGCAGCCTCTCTTCACACATGGGCTCAGTCTTATGCCTGTGTGTGTGTGTGTTCATGTGTGGGTGGTGGTGGTGGCGGTGGTTGAGGTTTGGGTTTTGTGTGTGTTTCTGTGTGTGTGTGTGTGTGTGTGTGTGTGTGTGTGTGTATGTGTGTGTAGTCTAATCTCATTTCACTTATTGGGTTTTAGGGAGCTAAGAATACACCCTGCTGGGACGAGACGCTGCAGCCGCGCCACCAGCTGTGTGCAGTGTGGCTCCTGGCTGCCAGACACACACACACACACACACACACACACACACACACACACACACTGTAGCATTGAGTAAGACAAGTCATCTGTCGGATTTTGGATACTTAAAGATAAGATAAATGTGTATTGATCCCTGTGGGGAGATTTTGCTGCAGCAGCCAAACTAAATGAATTCAGCAGTGGAAAAAAGCCGAACATGAGCCCAAAAACAAGAGTATCAACTAAACACTGAAAACAGCAACTGACAAGGGGCTCTAAAGTTTTCTCCTCATCTGAGCGGAAAGTCTGCAGGTTCCTCCACAGAGCCATAGAGTCGAAGCTTCTGGACAGCAGAGCAGAGCTGGTGTGGGAACCTGCTGACCTACATTCTGGGCTGACAGTTTCTTCCAAAGTTCTGCTCCCACTGAACCCATTTCTGCTTCTCAATGAGACAGATGGCACCTGCACCGAGCTCGAGGGAGTGTGTGAAACTCGCCACGCTTTACAGTGTGAGCATGAGAGCTGCCGCCTCACAGTCTGCCGCTGTAGAGGCTTCAGCGTTCGGCAGCGACATGGAACGAAAGCGAACAACATTCCAGAGCGTGCCCAGGTCGCTTCCCAGAGGTTACCTGCCTCAGCTCTGTTGCTGATTGGCCAACAGATGGGGGAAGTGAGTAAAGGAGCTTGTTGATGATCAGCAAAGAAATCAACAATTCATCGAATGCTCTTATAGAACTGAAATGTGCCTCATTATTATCCAACCATCTTACTGTATATGGCAAACTCAAGAAAAAGTGGAGATTTATTATATTAATAATAGTTAGAGGTTCAATCCAAAATAAAAGGAAAACTGTATCAACAAAAAAATATTATATATATATTTTCAGTGCTGTTTTCTAGCTAGCTATGTGTTTTTCCCCACCTGTATTATGCCCTTACTCTGCCTCTGATTGGCTCTAACCCTGACATTTTTTTTCTAAGCCTAACCATCTCTCTCCTCATGCCTAAACCTAACCAACCATACCAATGAAGGCAGCAAACACTAGCCGATCAGAGGCAGAGTAGGGCGGGTCTTTGCGAAATGCCAGTGGGAAAAAAACATGCAAGTGTTATGCAGTTGTTTGGGGGTGCATATAGACTCACCAGGAGGTGGTGATACACAGAAAGACCTAAGATTAGCTACTCATATGGACAAAAATCAACCAAGTAATGGCATGTGCAAGAATGCACTGGTCTTGACGACCTGGGAATGAGACTCAACACTCTGATTGGTTGTTTTTGTTGAGCCGTGGTGGATTCTTGCAAATGCCATTAGCAGCACTAGGAGGAGCCAGAGGAACCTGATTTCTTCACAGATTATCTGCCTCATGTTCTTCTGTCAGGATCTAGTGAAACTTTCAGCAAATATGACAAAAATATTTCGTTACCTACTGCAGCTTTAAAGTGAAATTTTTACACCCCATGTGTAAAACCTGATAAATATAAACTTAAAAAAAGAACTAATAGTCTATAACAAGAACAAGAGGTGGATCTTTTTTGGGTATTTTCTATAAACCATTGCTGACTTGCTTTCCTGTCAGTTGTGTCATATACATTTTAATCTGGACACATCCTTTGGGCCCCGCCTCCAGTGACCAGAGGTTTGTCCACAACTTTGTACTAGTCAGTAATACCAATATTATCAGTATCACCCTGAATTTACCTGATCAGTGACCATATTGTCATTGGAAATGTCTAAACAAAAGTCAGAAAAATCATAATGTAAGAATTTCAACAAATATACAGTGACATATTAGATTTATCACCCTGACAGCAGTTTATAATCATATAACTTTGTATTCCAGGGGAATAGCAATACCACTTTGCCGTCAATAGACATTTCTACTGATTGGTAGGGCATGTTTTTGAGAAATTATTATTGTCATCACATTTTTGGTGGGTAGTACTTTAGATTATTCGGTTCAGTAAGCCCCATGAGACTTAACCACACTTCACCACAAACAGGATACATGCTGCGAGTGTTATTTCTGCTGCTACTTTCCTGGAAGCCATCCGTGATTTCTGAAAACTGCAGTGCACCCTGGGAATTATTTTGGCCCTAACATGCTTCAAACGAGAGATGGCTCAATCAGGTTGGCTTAAGTGCAATTTAGAGCGAAACATGCTCTAAACAGCTGGGAAGATTACTAAAGAGTTAATGTTGCAAGTCATCCACATTCAAGCTTATTAGAGAAG